TTTGAAGGTGCATCTGTGTTTCTGGGGTCTTGCTTGCTTTGATTTAAAACAAAAAGTCGATATATAGTTTTCCAGCACAGACAGCAAGCTTGAAACTCACTTTAAACCTAAATATGGCAGGAGAACGCCATCCCCTTTAAAAGAGTCAGAGAGAAATTCCTCCATAGGTTAATTGATTCTGAAGTGACTCGAAAATTAAAAGTCCCAAGTTGTGACAAATTGAAGAAAACAGTTCAGTGTCATGAAGCCACAGATGTTACTAAGAGAAAAGGTTCTTTATCTTTCCAGATAGTGTAAAACTATGCCCAGTTTTTGCAATTGTCTTGTTCTGCGAATTAACTGGAAGAAAATCAAAGTGAGTTAAATCAGAACTCCAGCTCCACTCAGCTCATTAGCACTGAAATAAAGTGCAGTCATTTTTGTATTTCATATATATCCTGCATGCAAAATGTACTTGTCTTTAGCATCACTGCGTTACCTGAACAGCTATTTTGTATTTTCAGAAATAATGATATTTACATATCAATTATGTTCTTTGACTCATCTTTGCTTAATAGAATTGAACAGTGAAAGAGTGCTGTGAGGTTATTAGCTTCATAAATAAAAGTCATTGTGAAATTTGTATTAAATTGCAATGAATGTACAACCAAACAGATTTAATTACATTTTTAATTAAAAGAATGATGGCATGTTATTGAACAATATCTTATAACACACCACAACAAATCACCATTATTTAAAGACCTCCTTCAAACTGTATGTTAGGAATATAATGAAATCCTTAAAATAGCAAACAGGTTGAGTCACATGGAGATTTATGGTAGCAGAAAGAATAAAACGTGAAAAAATGTTTGTAATCTTATTATACATTGTAAAATTGTCATCTGAAAACCACACAGACAAATGATTATACATCAACTTTTCAATAAGAGTACAGCATATTGAAAATTGGTGGTGTCCTGGTTCTATAGATAAAGAATGTATCCTGAGCTCTATCAAGTTTTTTCTTCATAGCCTCTACATTAGGAGGGATCTAACATGTCTCAGCTACACTCTAGCAACTCATGGAACAACAAGCTTTACCAAGCAGTTTAACTTAAAAGAAATCCACACCACTTTGGTGAAAACAGATTGCATTGTTTGTTGTCATAAGCAAGATAGTTCTGGCAAAAATATAGGCATAATATAGGCAAGTGCTATCCAAGCTAAACCACACAGCTTAGCCAATTCACCTCACACATGATCTGCAGCTTCTTTGTTGTTACAATATTGATCCTCTCCCAAGCTAGCTGTGTGGCATGGATGAATTCCCCAATGAAGGGTGAAGCGCAGTATTTGGTGTGCCAATGATCAAGTTTAGACATAGAAACCCTATTCGCATGGGCAAATCTGTACGCTCGGGTACTGCTTCACAAAAATTGGTCATATATTTGTGAAGCCTCTGAAAATGTCTCGTAAATTTGTTTGTTTTTGGTTGGCCTTGATGTGAAATGTATATAGGAAGCTACAAAGCTAACAGTTCACTAAAAAGGTTAATTGTGACCATTTGCTTTATATGATTAAGACTAACAAGACAGAGGAAAACGAGCTGGAAGAGGAGAAAACAGATTAAAGAAACTGGATGTATTTAAAACAGCAGAGCCTAATGAAATTCACTCTATGGTACTTAGGGAACTAGTTGAACCAGTCTCAGAACCAATAGTGATTATCTTTGAGAATTCGTGGAGCTGATGGGTGAGATCCCAGAGGACTGGAGAAGGACAAAGGTAGTAATGATCTTTAAAAAGAGAAACAAGGAGGACTGGGGGAATTCTAGACCAGTGAGCTGAACTTTAATAATTTATTCCAGTATTTTTCCGAGTATTGAACGGTTTGTAAAAACCTAAAGGAAAACAGGGTAATAAGTAACACCCAACATGGATTTGTGAAGATCAAATCATGTCAAACCAGCCTAATTTCTTTCTTTGATAGTTACTGGCTTAGTAGATGTGGAAAGCTATAGAGGCAGTAGGTCTTGATTTTAGTAAGAATTTTGACACAATCCCACATGACATACTTATAAGCAAACTAGAGAAACCTTGTCTGGATGAAATTAGTATAAGGTTGGTGCATAACTGGTTTAAAGATCATGCCCAAAGAATGATTATCTGGTTTACTCTCAAAGTGAAGGGGACATATCTAGTGGGATCATGTAGAAGTGTGTACTGGAGCTGATACTATTCAACATTCTCATTAAGGACTTGGAGACTGGAGTGGAGAGTGATGTTATAAAATTTGCTGCGTACACCAATTTAAGAGGGATTACAAGCACTTTGCAAGACAGGATTAACATTCAAAATGACATTGACAAATTGTAGAATTGGTCTAAAATCAACAACTGAAATTCAGTAAAGAAGACTGCAAAGTACTACACTTAAGGAGAAAAAATCAAATGCACATCTACACAATGGGGAATAATAGGCTAGACAGTAGATCACAGATTAAGTATGAACTAACAGTGTGATGCAGTAGCAAAAATACCCATGTTCTGGGATGTATTATTAATTGGAACATCATATGTAAGAGACGTGAGGTGATTGTCCTGCTCTACTTGGCACTGGTAAGGACTTAGCTAGAGTACTGTGTCCAGTTCTATGTGTTCTATAGACAAATTGGAGAGAGTCCAGAGGAGAGAAACAAAATTAATAAAATATGAAGAAAGGTATTAAAAAGCTGGACATGTTTAGTCTCAAGAAAAAAAGACCAAGGTGGGTCTAGCGATGTTAAATTGCAGTTACCAAGTTAATCGTATAGTCAATACAATTTGCGCTATGCAGAGCAGCAGCGGGGATAGTTTCAGGAGCCACTGCACTGCAGCTCTGTATTTTAAATATAAGAAGAACCCCTGGGCTTTTACTACATTTAAAATGCAAAGGCACAGCATCCTCACAAGCCGAGACTGCTTGGTCCCAGCTCATGCTGAGTTCAGAAGCCCCTGATTACGGCAGACGCCCCTGTCCGCCATAATCAACAGGGGCTGCTGCCGGATCAGCCTCTGTTTGTGGTGGCCAGGGCTGCTCTATGTTCTAATATAGACCTCAAAATAGAAAGGGTGAAGGACTTATGCTTGCATGAATATCTGAACATGGATTTGTACATAGGTAATGAATTTACTGTTGTGCCCAACTAGTAGGGAAGATTTTTGCTAATGCAGAGAGGGCCCTGTTCTTTTTACTAAGTAAAAATTAGGGATGTTAAAGCAAATGCTTATCGGAGAGTCATTCAACTAGTCGATTCTCCTCC